AAAAAAAAAAAAGTAGGAAAGACTATCTCAAAATAAAAGACACTTTTTAAATGGGAAAACAGCATTACAAAAAAACTCGGGGCAACTTTTTTATTTTCTTTATTTTATGGCAGACCAGTAAAAACGGTCATAAGAATGTGCCCTTGACAGATGGGCACTAGGAACCACCACTTTGAACCATTTGGGGGTGACTTTGGGGGTAGTGGAGAGAGAAGAGAGGAGTTTCAGCTCCAGTCCCATAATGCAATGCCCCGCTCAGAACAGAAGCGTGACCCCTTTAGTGAGGAGGTCAGGTAGTTCCCTGCATCTTGCTGAAACATGTAAAACAACTCAAGAGAGGGTGTAGATGGTGTCAGTGAGAGGTGGCTCAAAACCTCCAAAACCCTGACCCCTGGCAAATCTGGGCCTCTGTGCAGTTTCCTAAATGGTTGATCCAGAGAGGTTATCTTCCCCAGCAGGTTTTTTTCTGCCAACCAACCTGGCTGGCTTGGAAGCCTTTTAGAACTTTCATTTACCATGGTATTCCATCCATCCATCCATCCATAAGTGCTGTTTTTATGGTTTCCCTCAACCACCCATTTTCAATAAGCTGTTCATTGTACCAGCTGAGGTTGGCCAACCCCGGTCCTCAGTGAGGACCTAATGCCCTGCATGGCAAGGGGCTTCTGTGGTTGTGGGAACCCACCCTTGGGCAGAGCTTCCTCCACGCAGGAACCAGCTTTGTTGTCTTTGTGCCCCCCCCACCCCGCCCCCCGGCAGCCAGTCTGGCCAAGGGAGGGTGCCCACCAATTGTTGATGGAATAGAGTAGCAAATAAGGCAGAACCAGAAGTGAGTGAATCAAAATAAAAGTGAGACAGGGAGGCCTGCAGGATTTCAGGTCTGGGGTTTCTAGAGTGTGAAAGATCTTATTATTAAAGTCAAGGATGGGCCATCCTGGGGCCCAAGAGGAGAAGGACAGAAGCCAGACTCGTTTTGAAAAGCTGTCTTAAGGCAAGGACTGCCCACTCAGAGGTGGAAGGGAGACTGGGATTGGGAGAGGCTGTGTGACACTCCTCTCGCCCAGGCCAGGCTTTGGTCACAGCCGGCAGGGAGATGGTCTGAGAGACTAGGCGCCCTGCGGTGTTCATGGGAAAACACTCAGGCCTTCCCTTTTTACTTCCTCTCAAAACTAAAGCAGGGCCAAGACCTGCCCTGGACAAACCTGCTTCCGCAGTGTTCACTGACCTTGGTTTGGCTGCCTGGCTGGTCTCTGGGGTGGTGGTGACGGGGCCTGGTGGGTGGTCAGCTGGGGGCCAAGTCCCCAGAGTGGCAGCCAGGAGATAGGCCCAAATCTTGCCACTGTGGCAGTGTGTGTTTGGGGAAGCGCTCAGGGTCAATCTTCTGACATGGTCTGTTTATCTGGAGGCCAGGGGGCTGCCAGGAAGTGATGCTGAGGCACTCAGGAAGTGCTCTGGCAACAGGATTCAGCTCATGGTGGGAATCCTGAAGTAAGACCTGTATTTCCCCACTCTCTCCTGAGTAGGCAGATTGCCCTTGACTGACATGATGACCGATCAACACATCCTTTGTGTCTCTGAGCAGCACCACCTCCTCCAGGAAGCCTTCCGTGACTTTCCCTTCTCCTTGCCTCAGCCTGGGTTCGAGGATCTGGCTGACATCTATCACATGACCTATCTCCTGGCTTCCATATGAGACAATACACTTCATGCATGAGAGATTGGTTCTTTCTGCCATAGGCCTCGCACCTAGTGAGCCCTCTATGAATGTTCACTGAATGAATGCATGAACTGGTAAACATGGTCCATCATCATCTAAGATTTACTGTGTGGGCTCTGGAGAGGGACAGGGTCCTGAAGTCTCCACCACCTGCAAAGGTGCATTCGGTGGCTGACTTGAAGCCACCAGATCCCTTCATTTCATCAGCAGCTCCAGGTAGAGGTTCAGAACTGGTAGGGAGGAAGGACCGTACCAGCCCCACTGGAAAGCAGTGGGGAGGAAAGAGCCTGGGCTTTGCAGTCAAACAGACCTGGATTCGAATCCTAGATCTACCACTGACTAGCTGGGTGGCCTCGGGCAAGTTTTTACCCTCTCTGAGCTTGAGGCCTTATTTGTAAAATGAGAATCATAATCACCCTTGCTGCAAAGGATTGTTGTTAGGGTTAAATGAGATAGTATACGCGAAGTACTGTGCCTGGCATAGTGTAAACACTCAATAGATAGTAGCTGCCTTAATAAAAAATAATCTGTCATTGGTGCGCGTATACTAGGGCTAAGGATGCAAAGAGGTGTAAGGGACAGTCACAGGAGCTAATCACAGGAATCAATGGGGAATTGAGCCACGTACATGAACACCCATCATGCTGACGGCAGCATGCCCACTGAGCGGTGTGCACGGTGAGTGCCAGTCCTAGTTGCTCACAGTCCTAGTTGCTCAAGACCACCACTAGCTCGAGGTGGTCATCAGGGATGGGGAAGACGCCTTGAGGGAACGGTAGGACTTAGGTTAAGTGGAGAGGAATTGGAAAGAGTTCCAGGGAGGGGCCACAGTACACACAGAGGCAGAAAGAGAAGAGAGCCACACCCACAGGCCGGTCTGGCCACCGAGGATTAATTTAGAGGGATTGATTGTTAGAGGGGGATCAGACGGGGGAAGGCGTTCAGTGCTGGTCTCTGGAGGCGCCCGGGAGCCAGTGAGTGTCTCCGAGAGGGAGGTGGCATGGGCCAAGTGGAATTTTGGAGAGATTTATTCAGACTGGCCCCTGGTGTGGACTCCAGGCCTGTTCTCAGAAAGAAGAGTACAGCTCAGGAAATCCCAGGCTCAGGATCTGTGTTGTGGTGCCTGGTATTTTAACGCACTTAGAATAACTGAGGCCCACGAGGGTCTGCGTGATCTGCCTCTATTTCCCTGACCTTGCATGCTCTCCCCTATCACCAGACCCCAGCCTCCCTGGACCTCTGGCACTTTCTCGAACGTACCCTGCTCCCGCCAGCCCCCAGAGCTTTGGATGTGCCTGGCTGGCTGTCTGCCTGGAAGACCTTGGCCTATCCGCCTCCTTTGTATCCGTTGTGGCCGGCTCTTCAGAGAGACCTGTCCTGATCTCCCCATCTAAAGTCACGCATGGGCCACCGCATCGCCCTGTTTAATTGTCTTCACAGCCTGAGATACCGCCCGAAGCAATGTTATGGTATTTTCTTATTTCCTGTTGGTACCCCCCACTGGACTGTGGGCTCCACGTAGACAGACATTGTCCCCGGTGCCTAGTAGGGGCTCAGCAAATATTTGTTGAGTGAATGAGTGACAGATAGAGGCGACTTTGGGTTTAGAGGATCCAACATGAGCCTAACCATGCTCTCCTGGGTTCTTTTGTGTTCGTGTTCCCCATGCAGGGCCCCACATCCCTATGTGTACCTCTGCATGGGACTCTCTCTCCCATGACTGCTAGTCACTGGAGGGGACTCCAGATTTGGCAAGGTGATGAAGGGCAGTGAAAAGTCATGGCTCTGGGGGGCCAGTGGCTGCTGCACAGCACCAGTGCAGAGGAAGGGGCCCCGGTCCAGCCCCACTTTGCCCCCAGGCTGGATCCAGGGCCCAGGAGCCAGAATTCTTCCTGCTTTCGGGCAGGAGTTCTACCACTTGCTAAGGAAGGTGAGGAGCTTGAGAGCAGATGCTCTCCAAAGAGGAAGAAGAGAGACTATCAATGCTGAAGATGTCTTTGAGAGACCCTTAGGATGCCCCCAGCCTCCTCAGTCTGCCCTTCAGGTGATTCATGAGGAAATTGGGGCTCAATGAGATCAAGATCACGCAGCTCACGGAAGACAGAAAAACCCCAACAACTCAACCTCCCCCCGCCCCTTGACTTTCAGGCCAGTGTTGAGCCCTTTCCCATGAAAGAAACTCATTCGTTCATTCATTGTTTGTTTGTTTGTTTGTTTGTTGAGAATCTACTCTGTGACAGTCTCTATTCCAAGTTCTGGGGCGGCCGGAGGGAAGAAAACAAAACATCTGCCCTCTGGGACTTTCAGTCTGGGAGGAGAGACAGACAACCAGAAGTGAGCACAAATGCACCATACAATGTCAAGTGCCTCACGCCTTTGGCCATTCGGTGTCTGCTTGGCTGTTCTGAGATGACAGGGGAACCTCACCCTGGGGACCGGAGGGGGGAGGCGGGGACAAATGGGCCCAGGGAGCCTTCTGAGGCCAGAGTCGGGCTCCCTGCTTGAGTGGGGAAGCCCAAGCAGCACCAGCCAGGAAAGTGTCAGGACGCCCGGGCCCCTGCCCTCATCCCTCTCCCTGTCTCCCCAGCTGTGTGCCAGCCGCCCTGCCAGAACCGGGGATCCTGTAGCCGGCCCCAGCTCTGCGTGTGCCGCTCCGGCTTCCGGGGAGCCCGCTGCGAGGAGGTCATTCCTGAGGAGGAATTTGACCCCCAGAACTCGAGGCCAGCGCCCCGGCGCTCAGCCGAGGGGTCACCCAACCCACGCAGGAGCAGTGCAGCCAGAGAAAGCACCACGACACCCAGAACACGCTCACTGGCCTCGCAGCTGCCGCCGGCCAGGTAAGTCCTCAGTGGGACCTCGGGTCCAGGGGCAAGTGTCTCTCTCTCTCTCTCTCTCTC